TTCCACCAAGCGTTTTTTTTTTTTTTTTTTTTACGGAATACAAGTGTAGTCAAGATTCAAGAATATGGAATGAAAATGATCGCTAAAGGAGTTCGATCATATTCTAGATCAGAGTTGAAATGTGCAAAGAAACCCCCTCTGTCTATGAAGATGGCCAAGAGAGGCAAAGATTACCCGAACTATAACACACGAAATACAGCAGTCGCAAACGTGAAACCCAAGATGGAACAAGTAATACACACTTAGTCGTAGAATTTCCGGTTCTCGTTCTTGCCGAAGAGCGTCTCTCGGACTGCAGGGAGAGCATCAATTTCCAGCAGGCGCAGACGCTCCTCAAAAGTGTTGTTGATCTCGATCTTGCCTTGCCCACCGACAATAAACACACCACCAGCACTGTGACCTAGTTAGTCTCCTTGGCGTATATTGGGAGGGGGAGCGAATAAACTCACGATCCCTCTGGCAACGGCTCCGACTCGTCCAGGGTCACGGTCACCTCCGAGCCAACAGTGTCCTTGTACTCCTTGGTCGCCTCCTCAATGGCCTTCTTGGTAATATCGAAGTCCTTCTTCCGCGAGCGAATTGCGACGTTATCCTCGTTCAGATAATACAGGCCCTCGAGGACCAGCCCCTTGAGCATAGCCTGGTACTTCTTCTCATCGTCGGCAGCCACCTTGGAAACCTTCTCACGGGCATTCTGGAACAGCTCGTCGAGAAGCTCCTGACGGGCACCGAGCACGCGGAGTCGGGTCTTGTTGGCGAGTGTGGACCGGGTGATCTGCTGGGACATGGCGGCCTGCTTGAACTTCTTCTCGTAGAGGGTATCGATAGCCGCAGTTTCCTGGCGCACCAGCTTGGACTTTTCGATCGCGAATTCTTCGTCGGCCTTCAACTGGATCTCTCGGGCCTTCTCGAGGGCTTCCTGTTTGATGAAGGCGGTCATCTTGCGGAGCTCGCCCGCGACCTGGATTCGATGGCCATCAGTCCAACTCAACCTTCCCAAGACCTAGAGTAAACGGCGAACATACCTGATCATCTGAAAGAGCATGGCTTTGTGACATTTTGGCAGTTCAGTGCTGTATAGCTTGTTGGGGGGGTGGAATGACGTGGGGAAGAGGGAAAGGATGTTGTGTCCAACTAAGCTCGGATTGCGTTGCCTTGGCGTTCCGCATCCAGGTCCTCCGCACTCCCCTCAACAACTTACCATTTCAGCGTGATCCTGTCATTCACTATAGTTTTATCTGAGTTATGGCTTATTTACTCCGGTAGTTTCTTCAACTTCATGCGCCTCTCCCAACCGTCCTTCGACCCGACCAATGCACGATACACAACATGGGCAATCTAGGTGACTTGTCGCCGGAGGGAAGTGTTGCGGTAAGATCATGGAAATCACGATATACCGCTAGACAAGATCAAGAACTAATGCAGGAATCAGGTTGGTGTCATCGTTGGCCTGATCTCAACTAGCCTCCAGGCTATTGGGCTCACGCTTCAGCGCAAGTCGCATTTGCTCGAGGACGAGAAACACCCCTACGATGTGCGCAGACCCCCTTACAAGCGCCGACGATGGCAAGTAGGTATGGGGATGTTTGTGATTTCCAATATTGTTGGAAGTACCATCCAAATCACCACACTTCCGCTACCAGTTCTCTCAACGCTCCAAGCGGTCAGTGGTTCCCCCTCCATGCATGACGGAGATCAGTTGCTGATAGGAATGCCGAGTAGTCCGGGCTAGTGTTCAATACTATATTTGCGACCCTCATTCTCGGTGAACCCTTTACCCGATATTCTCTCGCAGGCACCGTTCTCGTCTGCATCGGTGCATTGTTGATTGCGACCTTCGGCGCCATCGGGGAACCCGCACATACATTAGATCAGCTCCTGAACCTCCTCCAGCGACGACCCTTTCTTCTGTGGATGGGTGCCACCACCCTGGTGGTTGTTGTGGTACTTGTAAGCATCAAAATGCTGGAACACTTTCAACCATCCTCGCGCGCGAAACCCTCGGCCTCCGGTCACTTTTCGCCACATCTACTACGACTGCAAAGCCGAATGAGGTTAATCCGGGGCATGAGTTATGGATTTGTCAGTGGAATACTATCAGCTCACTCCCTCCTACTAGCAAAGTCGGCAGTGGAGCTTCTCGTACGCACAGTGGTAGACCGTGTGAACCAGTTCAATCGTTGGCAATCATGGGTTATCCTACTAGGGATGATCTTCCTAGCGCTCACGCAGCTGTTCTATCTTCATCGTGGGCTAAAGCTGTGTAGTACTAGTGTGCTATATCCTTTTGTGTTCTGCATCTACAACATCATTGCTATCATGGATGGCCTGATCTACTTCCGGCAAGTGTCTCAACTTGCGGGCTTCCACGCCGGTCTCATCGCTCTAGGAACAATAGTTCTCCTGGGTGGTGTTTTGTGCTTGTCATGGCGACTTGAGGATATCGATACTCACGCCGCTGTCACCACTGTGGGTTCCACCCAGACTGGACTTGGGCCGGGTATGGCAATCGTGGAGGAGCACTCTCCGACATCACCTGGGTTGCTGGACGGCCAGGACGAGGAATCACAGATAGGGGAATGCGAACCACTTCTCAACCCGAAGACCCATACTCGACATCTTTCATATCAGCGGGGAAGAGCTCCTAGCTTACCACTCGATTTACATTTTGACAGTGACTCTGCCGATCTAAACCCCGCATCTATTTGGGCTGAACTCGATGATTCGGACTATGAGTCCACTGATGGACACAGACGATCATCGACAGATGGCCTACGCAGTGTCGGTGGCAGCGCAACTATAAACGGCACCTTGCGGGGTCTGGCACGACACTCCACGATCGGCGCCACCACACACGATCGTGAAAGGGGATCTCGTCGAGTTCAGGGCTCACTGCGTGAGAATCCATGGCGCCGCACCTCAGCAGCTCAGGGTGGGTTATCCGCCACCCATCGTAAACATCGGGCGATCGGAGGTCTGTTTACATCATCGTCTAACCAAGAAGTCGGTGGGTACGGAACCATCCAAGAGGATGGCGATGATCACCACTGGCAGGACGACGCCCCTGCCGTTCATTCGTCTGGCACCGGGTCTGGTCTTCTTTTGGGCACAAAGAAGGCTCTGACAGGCGCCTGGATGTTTGGGAGACATTATCTCTCTCGATGGAGCAGCCCGCAGGCGGGCGGTCAAAATGAGATTGACCCAGAAGATGGCTCTTCCTCGTCCCTACTCCCGCACTCCAACGTCCCGCCTTCCACAGGCGCGTTATACACAGAGAATCCCGGTTCATGAGTCTGACATCCCAAGACCATCGTCATTGCCATGCCTCTTTTACATTATACTCTTTCCTATACTCTTTTCCCCACGACCTCCACATAGCACCTACATTTGCTCCGACTTGTCAATTCCCTACCCGAAGGGCACTACCTCCCAAGACTTTTCTTTGCTTCTCGCCTTTTCAATGGCCATGTACAGTAGTCCCCCTTCCTTGGACATACCACGCGCAACCCACTCGTGTTGCTTCCGTTGCTCCTAGCTCCCGGTTGGGAAACGACCAATCCCAACCTCTCCTTTGTGTCCTACGATCCACTGTCCAGATACCATGATATGATACCACTCGATCGATTATATAGCTCTACACGAATGAATACAAGACCTTGATATAATGTCCTTACACTCTATATATAATACCAACTACCAACTACCTAGTACATACTCCATTGTTGATTATAGTAATACAAAAGTCCATTTAGTGTGTGGCATTGACCTCTAATATGCAGGTCAGCGAACTTTCTTGCGCTCTCTCTATGCATGCCAAGGTATATATCTCTTTGGTTTGGAAGTAAATCGGTCGGAATTAGAATAAAGTACGAGTAATTATGCAGAATATAAAAAGAAATTGAATATCATCGAACGTGAAAGGTTGGGAATATATATCTGATAAATCGTATAGTAGTAACCCTAGCATTTCCAGATTGTTCGAACTGAACTTTGAATATCTCGAATGTCCAGGAGAACGTGCTTTGAGACTATATAGCCTAACAAATACATAGAAAGTAAGAGTATAGCTTCTTGTTAGTAGATTTGCTGTCCCCCTAAGCTATTCATCGTAGTGGGACCCCACGCACTACCTAGGTACACAGTGGAGATAGATCAGAACCAAGTCTACTATACTTATAGACCATCACCATTACAAGCAACAAGACAGCCCCAAGGAACAGAATCCGATTGGTCCATACCATACATAATATAACCCAGCCAGAGCCATAGCGGTGCAAAGTGCGAACCAAGTGGCATTGAGAATCCGTCATAGCCAAGACAGAACTCCCACGGCATGGAATCAGCAGAAAGAATTAACACACAGTTTGAGATTAGACAATGAGGAAAATAAAATAATCAGTGGCCAAGGAAATAGTTAAAAGACTAAAAAAGCAAAAAAAAAGACTAAAGAGGAAAAGCCACTTCGCCGACGAGTTTCAATGCACCACGAACACCTCCATCCTCCGCCATTGTCTAGGTAGAGGGGGAAAAACAAAAGCCAAATTAGCGGCGAAGCCCAGATTTGCCTGCTTGCGCTCTCTTTCTCTTTTCTTGAAGTTGGTTTCTTTTTTGTGACGGTCATTTTTTTGAGGTGTTTTTTTTGGGGGTTATTGGAAAGCCATAGTTCTCAGCAAATTGGGGTTCTCCCTTTTTTCCGAGATAGAAAGCAATATCAAAAGGAAAAAACCAGATCCAGTATCATCAAAGAAAGACTGGAAGGTGATTCCAGCGCGGTGCTTGACAATTTACAAATAGTCTCACGAGAGTGCCCTGGAGAATGGCGCATGCAGATACAGCGCGACCATTTCCGAGGGAAGAGTGGGATGATGGATCGGCAGAAGGAGACGGGTATCAAATGAACGCGAGATCGAGGCGCAGGGAGGAAAGAACAGAGAAGAAGACGCAGCATCGAGGACCTTGAGCAAGAAGGACCCCACAGATCAGATCATAATTTAAAGCATTTAAGCAGTGGGTTGGTGCTGGGGTGGCATGCGACCGCCGACCGGCATGGGGTACTGACCACCAGCCTGCTGTTGCTGCTGCTGGAGGTTCTGGTAGTACGCCATCTGCTGCTGCTGCTCGTTGGTCATGTAGCCAGGGTGAATACCGGGACGCATATTCCCCTGGGGCGCGTTGACGTTGTTGTGAGCCACATCTTCGGGGGCCTCGGGGGCGACATCGGGGGCATCGACACCATTCTCACTGGCGGCTGGGTCCGGAGCGTTCAGGCATGCCTATCAGTGTGTTAGTAATTGGACGAAAGAGTATCATTGAAGCAGACCGTAGCTTACCTGAATCAGGTTCTTGCCCTCGGCCTTAGTGACCAGCGGCTGCAGTTTGGGAGTAGTGAAGGTGTAGACAAGGCCGGTTTCGGAGACGACCAGCAGGAGAACTTGAGTGCCAGTCAAGACAGAGAGTTCATAAGCCTATAGAGAATATTTATGGTTAGCAAAAGTGTCAATCGATTTAATGATGGAGGGAGGATCCTCGATCGGGAAACTGATGCGGAGGGGGCCTCGGGACGCGACGCACCTTCTTCATGATACCGGCCTTCCGCTTGGAGAAAGTAATGTGCCGACGCGACTTATCCTGAATAAACTTGATCTCGATCTTGCGACGCTCACGGCCGGGCTTGTCATCATCATCATCTTCATCGTCGGCGCTCATGCGGTTGCGCTTGGTGCCACGGGCATCGGCGCCGTTGCCGGGAAGGTCATCGTGACCAGGGGAAAGCTTTTCGTCAAGAACCGCAGACATATTGACAATAAAGAAGAACAAAAGAGGTTTAATATGGGGGGGTGGTAGTTATGATTTGAGGGGGGATACCGAAAGGGGAAGGCAAGAGATGACCCAATCGAGTAACGCGTTTATGGGATGTGAGAGAAAGGGAATGGGGGAATCGATGGGGGGGGAGAGCGAAGAAGGCAAAGTGCGAGTTGCGATGGGCAGGCGGTCTGTTACGTGAATCACGTGTAGGTGTGGTATTAGTACAGTCTGTAAGGTTAGATAAGTTAGGGTACTTCAAATACTAGTAAAATTAATATTGAATGAAAGTACTTCTACCTTTACAGCAGTATTGTTTTGTAATTGAGTTGTATTCGCCTCCTTTGGACCAGACACGATTCTTGGCTTTGATTGCTCATTGGCTAGCTCCTCCTTCGGCCCCCCCGTTTGTCCTTTTTTGCCCTTTTCCCCTCTGGTCTGGACTCTTTTTCCTTTGTTGCAGATTCCAGTATTGCGCATTTCTCGGTCCCAATTTTGGGAGTTTATTTGGTTATTTCTCTTCTTGATATTAATTTGAAATTAAAAAAAAATACGCAACAAGAAACCCCCCCCAAAAACATATATATTGTACTTTTCTATACTTAGTTACTCCATTCTACCTCACATGCCTCGACGGGGCAGAACTTCTCAACGTCCGTCGTTATATGATTGGCTATCCCAGCTTTAAACATGCCTCCAGGGCTATGGAGCATCCCTTTTCTATCACCCTATATATCATAGAAACATCTTACTTCGAGGTTACATCTACAAAGTCGAATATATAAAAAAAAATAAGAATAAAACCGAGCTCACATCACACAGGCGCGGGTCGCACCTGCTTTGTGGCACAGAATAATGGCCCTGTATACAACATACTCGCATGGCTGCATTCAAGAGTGCTTCGTGAATAGCTCTAGAGGCCGTCCCCCTTGTCTTCACTCTCTTATCTTTCTAATAGCCACTCCCATTCCTTTCTCATTGCAACCACAAGTACTAACCTCACATTCATCATTACACACCAAAGTAGGAAGTACAAGGCTACAGTCTCGACACAATAACCCCCAGGTATCTCACATCCCCTTACTCCGTACATACACATGCATGCCTTGCATGCAACTCGTAGAGCATCTAGACATCCCCTGGTGTCCCACAGACGTGCTCCATATATTTGCCAGGATTCACAGGAATCAGGGTGACTCGGTCAGTAGGTCTGTAGCAAGTCAGGGCTTGTTCCCTGCTTCCTTAATTATTACTCCCACATTTACGTGCAATCCTATTCATTTCTTCTCACTAGTTCATCTGGGTTGATATTGCTCCAAGCATAAAGTCATAACATTCATTGCCCCTCGCACCTAGTTGACTACCACGCGGCCTTACTAAACACTAAACTGTGACGGGGTCTCTTGAGCTCCTTGATTACATCGGGAACTCGAGTGCAAAATTCGACCGTCGTGAACTGTTTGTGTAAGGAAAATAATGCATCCCACCGAATCCACCTGGACACATAGCAACAATAAGCAACCAAAGCCGATCAGCGGGCCGATCCGGGAAGCCCTAGACCCGATGCAGCACAGTTCACTTCACCCAGACAGTCGCTTCAGGACTCCTTCCTGCATATGGAATAGCCAAAGAATACCCTACAAAACACTGAAATGACGAAAACTGATCATATTCTTCACATAATGAACAAAAAGTTCAACGCTAATCACCAACGGAGACCCCAAAATGGGTCTGCTGTCAAGTCTATTTTTACAGAAAGGATGCAAGGCATAGGGCACGGAAAGTGGCCTTTCTCCAAAGGGCACTTAAGAGCGCGGAAGACATGGAGAAATAAGGAAACAACGAAAGATAAGAAAGAGCAAGGCCAAACCGATTAGGTATGGCAAGTCTCGACCAAGGCCCCGCATAGGTCCAAGGATTGGGAAGAAGACGGTAAAAAAAAACAATTGAACATTTCAAAAATTGGAATACACCGTCAGGATATAGAGGGAGCACGCAAAGCCACCAGGTTCCTGAACCGTACTGGACTCCGCCAATGCAACGCCGGATAAATGAAACAGAAACTGGAGGACGCGGAGGGCAAGTCACGATCACGAGTCTCATCCGGAAAAGAAAAAGGCTGTTGGGTTGGCCGACTTGTAATCATATTGGGCTGGTGTCGTGAAGTCGGAAAAAAAAAGAAAAGCAAAAGGAAGATGTGTAGTATTTTAGAAAATAAAGAAAAGAGCCGAATCATGTGCAACGAAGTGAAGAGGTACGAACAACAGTCCCAAGGACCAGCCTCAAGTAGTAGCGGTGCAATTTTATTGCTGGTAAGTGCCGCGAATATAATGGTCACTCACACCACCGCCACCGCCGCCCTTAGGACCGAGCCAGACAATTTCAATTACGCTGTGGCCCTCGTCTTCTTCGCGAACATAGAACTGGTGCACATTCTCACCAACCACGAATGCATCACGGAGCAACCACCGATCCTTAGCAACACCGTCTTCCTCTGCGGGACGCAGGGGACCCAGGCGGTCTTCATAGCCGCGGGGGTCTTCGGGCCAGGTCTTTTCGGTAGCATCGAAGTTGATAGCGTCATCCGGGACATGCTCGCCGTATGTGTACTTCACCAGCGAGTAGCCGTTTGTCATGACCCAGAAGTGACGGAGAGTCTCTCCAGTAGCGCTGTTCACAGTTTCCTCTTGATCAAAGACCCAGCGACGGAGAACAGACTTGCGGCCTGCAGCAGCAGCAACGGTGGTCATCTTGACCACGTCCTTGCTGTACCAACTGTTCCAGTGGTGCATGGATTCGATCTTGCGACCGGACTCGTAAACACCGTCCACGGGGTCTGCCATGTCCATCTGGTAGAGCGAAGGCCAGAGTGTCAGGGGAGTGTCACCGAAGCGTTGGATACACTGGCCAAGCTTCTGGTCACCGGGCTGCTCGCCCCAAGACTGGCACTCGTCGTAGTGCTTCATCAGGACATCCAAAAGAGGCTTTGAGACAAACACACCGGCACCACCGAAAGCAATGTGGCCGAAAGTATCCACCTGCCAGCTGGCCTCAGACAAAGATCCAATGTAGTGCTTCTTGCTCTCATCAAAGAGCTTGAGTTCCTCGGCGATAGTGGGGAGCGACAGGAAGAAGGTATCGTCGTCACTGAATCCAACCCATTTGGTGTGCGGGCGGTGCTTGCGAATGTGCTCGGTGAACGCCTCGACCATACCGAAGTAACGGGCAGTGAAGTCGAGGGGAGAGGCCTTAAGAGTCAAGTCCAGACCGCGGTTGCGGAAGTAGGTCTCTTGCTTCTCCAGGTCGTCGTCAGACTCAGGGACTAGAACAATCAAACCGGCCTTGGTGTTTCCGTAGGAGTAAAGCAGGGAGGGGAGCAGGCGGTCCAGACGGTCGACGGTAGTGGCTAGACCAAACAGAAGCTTGGAGGTCTCTTCGACATCGTCATCGGCGGCCACATCGACGTCGATGATCTCAGGGCAGACAAAGTTTTCCGGCTTGTTCTCGGGAGACACGACCATACCGCGCTCCATGACAACCATGGGCGGGAGCACAGGCTTTTCAATTTCCTCCAAGGTGTGGAATTCGGTGCGGGGGTTCACATGACGAGGACGGAAATAGGCGCGAGTGTAGTTCTTGCGTGGGAGCCATTCAGGGAAGGGTAGGGGGGGCGGCCAATTTCGGGTCAGCCTCACAGGTGTTGCTAGTCGGCTGCTGCGAATCAGATTGTGCCGGGGTTTGTACTTGAGGCTGTTTGTTTCCACCAAAGGTGGCCCGATCAATTGGGTGCTTGAACCGAAGGAAAGCTGAGCGGTCGTAGCGTTCCATGCAAAAGAAGAATATTCCGATGGTCACTAGAGCGACCAGCGGGAATACCGTCTTGATCCGAAATAGAGGCATTTTGGCTTTCCCAGTGTTAAATGACGACTTTTCAAACATGTAAATAGAAGAAGGCGATGTGAAATCGGGGTAGATGAACACCCTGGGATTAAAAGTTATGGGTTCGGCGTGTGAGGTGTCGTTTCCCGGAAATAGCGAGCAGCAAAAGCCGGTAGCAAGACTCCAATTCCGACTTGAAGGAAGAGTCAAATAAACGAGTGTTCCAAGAGTGGATTAAAGAGTGGCAGGCAAATAAAGTGCCGAGATAATTCAACGAGAGGCTGGTAGCGTCGGGACCTGCGACACGGTCCAAAGGGGGGAAGCGTTTGTCAAGGGGGAAGATATGAGGGTTGGAAGAAAATATAGAGGCAAGACTAACGCGGCTGGACGATGTGCCCAGTCCGAGTGAACAGTCGATGAGAGCTTGGAGGATTGTGTCGTGAAGGTGTTGTAGGAGGAAAGAAAAAGGGAGGCAGCCGAAGCAATTAACAGGACAGGGTTGGCAGTGTATGGGTATTACCGTAATATATTATTAGGCCTTTTTTTTTTTTTACTTCTTTTTTTCTATCCGTTTTCTACATCGATATACATGCGTACATATCTGACGTTCGCAACCACCGTTTTTCATTTGATATGCTGTCTTCAATCATATCAAAACATATTGTAGCTGGATATTGCATCTTGGTTATCTATTCACCCCCGGTTGCGGTGTTGTTGCCAACTTGGGATGCAGGAACGGAGGTCTTCGATAGGACCATTTCAAATGATATGTGGCTTATACTTCGTTTCCTTTTGCTTCGTCTTACCTGTTGACTTTAAGTGTCGATCATGACGAAAAAAGGAATGCTGTTGGCTGGGGGTGATCATCCCCTCTCAGATTTAGTGGAATATATGTACTCAGCCATGAAACTGATGATCGGCATTGGTGTTTTTTTTTTTTTTTTTTCTCCCTTTTCCCTCTTGAGCACAATAATAATGTTTTTGTCTAACCCGGGCACAGGTGTGGTTGTTCAAGTCGGAAATGGTCATCTGGCCCTTAGTACTCTAAGATAAGCATGTTTCAAGTATCTTCAAGGTCGAGAAGACCGTTTGCGGCGACACATACTTGGATGCAGGCTCGCATGAAGATGCCGATCAACTGTTTGGGGGCATCTGTATACATGAATTGTATGATAGGCCAGAAAATCAATCTACTAATAACTCCGAATGCCCTCTCCCTAGCGTCTCTATCTGTATGTTGTACGGAGTACTCCATACTTGTGTCTGCATATAGATATTACTATGTATAGATACGCCATGTATCCGAATTCGTCGGCGTATTGCACCTGCACCTGTCTGAGCCTCAATCATTTAGCATTTAGCAATCTCGGACAATATAAGCGACTAAAAACATCCGTTCCCATCCCGAGATCCCATCATGGTGATGTGAATATAATAACGTACATACAACTGGAGATCACGTCACTGTTATCGGTTGGCGCTTGGGCCATTCGAGTAAAGTGTGGGACCTTGGAAAGGGTTTGGATAAAAAGTTGTACGGAGCACTATGAACCACCTTGAGACCCTGGATAGAGTACGGAGTACGGAGTAGCCAGTATCAAATAACGGAAAGGACAGATGTACAACAATTGTACTCCATACGGAGCACTCCGTACTCTGAGAGGCAAAAAGAGCGGAAATGATCAAAGACGATCAGCCTGGCACCCAGCCGCGTCAACCAGTCAAAATTAGCCGGAGGGGCAAATGAGGCCAACAACCCCCCCCACAGACACGCGTCCTTATTGACGACGTCCTACCATATGCAATGCTGGTATTCGTACTCCGTATTCTATATGTAAGATGTAATATATAGGTGGATATTTAACTAATCTACAACATATCATGAGACATTCCTATGACTTGAGGATCGCAATTTGCACAAATATCTTTACATCAGACAAGAAGTTCCCGTGGGAAAAAAAAGGAGAGACCCTGAAATGAAGCTTATCGGGTCACGTATTTTGAGTGGCGATAGCATTTCCTCACCCATGGATTTCCTCACAGCCAGGTGGGCCGGGATCGACAACATTTAAAATGGTAATTTATAATGGTCTCGGTAGTTTCTGTTTTGATCTTGTTTCATCATTTCTAAATATATTTATAAATGCATAGATTTGACTGGAGTTTTCCGGGGGCTATATACTGTTTTAGTTACAACTTGTGAAATACATCAGTCAATGTATATACGGAGTACGAACTATATGTACTTTGTACATCGACAGACAATAGTGAAGGTACCTGAACTGTGGAGAATCATCCACTTCTGTCCAGGCCCAAAGCCATGGCATTTGCTACGGTACAAATAGTTACGTATTAATAAGGGCACGCGTCTTCTTAGGGCTGCTTATACAAGCCTCCAAGGGGAAACTTAGGTACTCGTATCATCCCTCTTTACATATGTGTCCAGTGTATCAGATTGACAAAGCCAGGTCAGCTCTTACGAATCCCCCAGGGCATCCATGGATAATACATACAATGTGATTGCACGAAACAGTCGCTTACATAATTTAAAATATGCTGGTCATTTCGATGGCATTTTAAGCTTGAATGGGCGTCTTGGCGTTGCTGTCACAGCGTCAAAAAGGGGGATTCCATGCCCTAGGGTCTTTCTATAGCTACTCTATGCTGTAAAAAGACGATTAGTGCATTTATTTTTGCGGTGAGTTTTTCCATATTGGGGTTGGCAATACGCCACTAATATCTCCCTTCTTCACCTTATATGTATGTTATATGCAAAGGTAGAAGGGGCCTGCTACCATCCATCTAGATATTCGAGATCCCTGGGCCACGTCTAAACACGTATTCATTTCTGAGTGCAATGCTCATGATCGAAATATATGTATCTTACTCCTACTGGAACCTACTAAATCCGTCAAGTGCCTGGCGGTAACAGTCGAGGTGGCCTTCGTGACCCACCCGAGGAAAATGCGAGCTGATGTTTTCCAGATTCTCATGTGCCATCTCACGGTACTCTTCAAGCGGCATGGGCTCTTGTGCATTGCCATTTGCATCCAGCCCATGTAGGTTCACACCATATCCCAGTAAACCACCAATAATGACGCTGCAGTTTAGGAATGCCGCAATCCATAATGACATGAAACCATGCCGGTTCTTCAAGTAAGGGTCTGCACCGTGCCCTAGTAAAGTATTAATCACTGTCCATTTATCTTCCGGGGACCCGGTGCTTCTGTCTCTGTAAACTCTAGCTGCACAATGAATGGGCGCATCGCCATCAGCGTTAACGAAATTGGGATTAAATCCACACTCGAGTAACGCCTGCACAGCTCTCTCTTTCCCTTTCCTGGGTGCTATGTGCAATGCGGATGTCTTCTGATGATCAAGGTGATAAAGATTGACACCGCAAGCAAATAGGAACTTGATCATTTCTCCGACGTTGGTTTGAGCCGCCTGATCCCCATCTGTTGGAGGATCTTCAGGAGGAATACGATTTCGCGTACCGCTGAATAAGAAGTAACGTATTCCGCCGAAGTACTACTTCGTGCGACAATTTCTTCTTTCCGAGATGAGCAGCTCAGTGGGCATCCTGTATAGTAATGGATGAAAGCCTAAGTGCTTTTCTAATCTCGCAGGCATCAACGTATTCGGTAAGTCCCATCTCCCGGGTTTTGTCTAGCAAGATGCCAGGATCCATCGTGCCTTTAACATAACGATTCAATTGCTCCGAAGCATCCACATCTTCAGGTCTCGGAGTAGCTGCCCAACGCTGTAATTTGTTGACACCAAGTGCAATGTTGGGAGTGATTTGCCGGGCGCCTTGATTTCGGAAGCCTTGTGTCAAGGGCCTGGGGGAATTGAGCACCCCGAAAGGGGCCTGCCATAGTATTTTAACTTCCTTAACAATCTGGCTGTACAGGCCCCATGCGCTTCTCTTCAACCGTCCGGTCTCGTACTGGGGTTGTTGGAGAGGTTGAAACACGCCAATGAAACCACGCTTCAAATAAGTTGATATATCTCCGCTTGACCGGGGGTTGGAATCTGTGGTTTTACACAGAAAGGGAGTGCTGCACATCGAGCGATATCTGTAGAGAAAAGGTGTATGTGTATTCGCTTTGGAGCGGGATGGAGAGAAAGTAAGGAGAGAAAAAGAAGGAAGAAGCGAACAATCTAAAGTACTATCTCCATTGTGGGTCTGAGGCCACCAAATAAAAGCATCAAGAGCATAATGGAATTTTCCTAATATTTGATTGACCATGTTTGATTCCACAAAGAACATCCACCTTCACACTCAACCCACCACCACCGGGGTTTCCTCACCAGGAGTAAGCCAGCAAACCTTCTGCGAGACCTTTTCCTCGTCAAAGATCACCACCAGATCCGCTTGGTGCTCAGTGAAATGATCCCATGATTCAAAGTGGATAGGAACCATCCAATCGACATTTAGCACGCGCATCAAGTGAGCAGCTTGTTTACCATCAAAGGTAATTTGCAGAACACCGTTAGGGTGCTCGAAAAGTGCATTTCCCAGATTTAAGACTGCAATGGAAACATGCCACTTGTTCTTGATCTGCGCCAACTCATCGATCCACACGGTATCTCCAGAGAAGTAGACCACATTGGGTAGACTGGCCTCATTAATGCCGAAGGTGTCGCACTCGACAATGAAACCCGTCACCTCGCCACCGGGGAAGTGCTTGCATGGGGTGCCGGTAATGCGGAAGTCTTTGCCTGCCAGTCTTGCGGAGACGGTTTGCCAAGGGCGAAGGCCGACGACGCCAGGGCGTGGCTGGAGGTTGTGTGCGCCGTCAGGTGTGGTGAAGACATGGCGGCCGTCGAGTAACTGGCGGCCTAGAGGATCTAGGTTGTCGATGTGGTCTTCGTGGCTCAGTAAGACTGCATCGATGGGTGGGATGTCGTGCATTCCGAGGGCTGGCCCTTCAAAGCTGCGCAGAGTCGCTGTTGGAGGCTGATCCTTGAAGCCGAACTCCACAAGGTTGGGGAACTTGGACCAGCCGTCGTAGATGTATTCAGAGCCTGCAGGGCAGAATACTGGATCGGTGAGGAACCGCACACCGTCAATGCTGATGATCGCCGTGGCAGTCGTGATGTGGGTGATGGAAACGTTGGCTTTGAACGTGGACATAATGCCGTTTGATTGATGAGGGCTTTTTTTACTCAGAGAGATTGAATTGATATAATAAATAACTGGAGAATGGTGACATAAAATGTAGACTAGCAGTGTTTTTGGAGACTTATATAGTTTGCCATTCCTGGATCCGTTCTTGATCCCACCATGGTGGACATGACAAACCATCAATTATGTGTCAATTCCTTCATAATCTACATCTCTGATGATATATTAACAGTGGAGAGTAATGTAAGACATCAATATGAAACTTTTGCATCAATAATGCCTTTGAAATACATGCACCCCAGGACTCATCTTTCTCAGTCATCATCCCACTATCCCACCATTCATCCCACCCAATCCCACCACGTAATAATGGATCTCACGGGTTTTTCAAATCATCGATATTTACTGTAATTACTCGACGACATTCTTCGTCCCGGTTCTTCTTTTCCGTGTTCATATCACCAGGCCCATCTGGTAGCTTTTAAACCTTGTTCACAACCCCCCCCAAACAATATAAAGGTATCGATATACTACTCGAACCGAATTTTTCTCTTACACGGCACAGATATCGTCTATGCTATCAACAGATCTTGATGGCCCTAGGAGATGGTATGCGCGTCCATTTGCCACACATTGTGAACCAATTGAGGCCTAGTGAAAGGCCAAGAGACCATCGCTATTTGCGAACATTGATAGTATACCTTGGACAGTCCTTTTTTTTATATAATTCTATCAGCCCCAACAGTCTAACATATCAAGTTGTCTTCTCTTACATTTTACCCCGGGGCCTTAATGTTTGATTAATGCTGGGGTAATTAGTCCAATTGTAGCCCTGGAGGTAATCCGGGTCATTGATACGCTTGTTTGTCAAAGATTCACCCGGCGAAGTGTTTTTCCTTCGCCTTAATGGTTTGTTTAAGCTTGAGGTACAGCTAGTAAACCTATCAAATCTCTCTGACCTCCGGACATTCTGGTGATGATTAAGCTCATGACAGCCTCGGGGTATAAAACCTTGGAAACCCGGGAAATGATAGCTTGTCTCTCATTGGTTACCTGCAGGATATGTACCCACCCAGTCCCCGGAAGGGCGGGTCCCCCGACATACCAAACGCCGTTTCAAGGCTGAACTATGAATCATCATATATGAATCATCAGATGCTGGGAATTATTTTTAGCTTTGGACCAGGGGGATAGTACCATCGAAATTGACTCACAAGTTCTCAAAAAACCCGCTTTGATTCGTAGACATGTTCTTGAACTTCTATCTTCTGCTCCATCTAAACGATTTGAATGACGACAGCCTATATCAATGTCAATAGATTTTCTCTTTCTGCCGACCGCTCAAAAGATTCAATATCTCGGAAATTGACCAAAACTCATCTTGGCATAATGTCGCCAGGAGACAACCAGAACGAGGTCTTATCTGGCGACAACGAGGCCAGCATTAATGGGACCACAGAGTCACCGGAACATGAGAATGCAGATTATTACACAAACCGGTCAAAGCATAACAGTGGCTGGCGCCATCTCGTGCGGAATTTCACACCGGCGTAAGTGTCTCAAGTGTAGGTTGTCGACTTTGCTAACTCTTCGTGCTTAGTTGGTTCTCGGTCAATATGGGCACCGGGATCACTTCTATTCTGCTCAATAATTTACCCTATAATGGCAAATGGTTATACTGGATATCAGTGGTGATATTTTGTTTGAATATATTCCTTTTCGTTATTTTCTTCGCCATCACTATCTTGCGATATGTCCTCTACCCGAAGATATTCTACCTCATGGTGACCCATCCCACGCAATCTCTTTTCCTTGGAACACTCCCTATGGGGTTTGCCACGATAATCAATATGTTTTGCTATGTCTGCGTGCCTGCCTGGGGAGACTGGGCTGTCTACTTTGCCTGGGCTCTGTGGATTGCAGATGCTGTTGTATCTATCGTGACATGTTTCGGGATACCATTTATTGTGTATGGACATGCACATCCTTTTCTTGAAGGTACTATCAAGACTGACTCGCGTTCTAGGATGACTCGAACGGCTGACAGCAAGCTACAGGCGATGGGTGCCGCTTGGCTGCTTCCCATTGTGTCTTGTGTTGTTGCGGCGGCATCGGGAGGTATTGTGGCTGACATACTCCCAGATCCTCAGTATGCTCTAGGAACTATCATCGTGAGTTATGCTCTATGGGGTATTGGAGTACCCCTGGCAATGATGGTCATTGTCATTTATTTGATGCGCCTCATGCTATACAAACTACCACAGAAGGCAGTGATTGTTAGCACATTCTTGCCTCTTGGTCCTCTTGGCCAGGGGGGTTTGGGTGAGTACTTTTGGATTGACCGGAATGCACGTGTATTGTACTAATGTGTTATTCTTTTCTGCATAGAATTCAAAAGTTAGGAGTGGTTGCACAAAAGGTTTTCCCACTTACAGGAACGTTGAGACCCGGATCAGGCGATACTTTATACGACATTGGCTTCCTAATGGGTCTTCTCCTGTGGTCATTTGGTTGTATATGGCTGTTCTTTGCGGTGGCAGCCATTATTCGGTTGAAGAAATTTCCATTCAACCTCGGATGGTGGGCATTCACCTTCCCGCTCGGCGTCTTTACAACCTGCACCAACCAACTGGGCCAAGAAATGCCATCCAGGTTCTTTAGAGTTCTGGGCACAGTAAGCTATTTCCATTCAAATGTTTCATTGTCAAATGGCTAAACCATCCTAGATATTATCTGTTTGTGTTCTATTGCTATGGATTGTGGTATCACTCTTCACACTGAAGGGCATGTTTAATCGCAGTCTATTTGTGGCACCCTGTTTGGGTGACCTTCAGGAGTATGAGCCAAAGAGGTTCCAGAAAGCGAAGCACAAGTCAAAATCCTAGTCCAAAGATCGCCAACTCTTGTTAATCAAGAATAAGATTCGGCTTCAGCTTATGTTGGACATACGTAGTTATGAATGGCTAGAAAACTTTAAAGCTTAGTAGAGTAAGAGTTTGGCACCAAACTAGACAAAGAGAGCCAGCACAAACCCGATGCTGGGTGAGGTCTACTTGACTGCCAGCATTGGATTGGAAACCTTCCAAGGGGTTTAGTCCTGCAGAGCACAAAGATGAGCCTTCATGCTATAGCCCATATTTGCACATCATTTAGCTTTGAAATACGGCCAACTATAATATTACTATAGCTCCATATACAAAGTTTTGCGGATGCTTAACTAGTACTTGAAATAGGGTCTCGGGTCAAAGGACAGTGTATTAAGGAACATATCAACCCCACATCTCTGTCTCGATCAGGTTCATTAACTCTGGGTGGATCACTGGCCATGCACAGGCTCTAGCCTTCTAGCCTTGAACAAGATATGTCAATCACCCGCAACATCGTTCCCAGTAATTCTAACAATATTACGAGTCGGATAACCACGACAATACTCAATATCGTTGATGTACGATGATCTACCGAGGGCATGGGGACTTCCACTTAATGCCACACCGGGAGCAATAACAGCATCCGACCAGTCCGTTTCAAAGTACCTAACCTTGTGCTGTAAACAGACTCATTCCTGGACAATCTGTCAACGTTACGTCTGCTTCCCTCGTTAGAAGACCGATCTAATAGCTGCGTGAACCAGAACACTTGACCACCAAAAGGTGCCTTGGTTCTTTCTGTCTTGGGTCAGCGGGACATTTGTCTAACACAATAGTGGGCTTGAATCGCACATTCCATAAGCTGCACATTCTATGTCGTGAGGGATCATTCAGCCCGCATTTTTCTATTAAAATCTAGTAAGGATGTTGCAATCTCAAATTTGATGCAGATAGGAATACTTGGCGCATCTCATCAAGTTGTTCGGCGTAATGTTGACCCCAAATGAGCAGCTTATGCTACTTATACTAACTTGAGAAATGAGATACACCAGCCAAAGAATGGATCTTTGTCTATATTGGGAATATGAAAAATATACAGAGTAGTCTATTGGTAAAAGAGGATATTGAAATTCCGAAGAGGATTATGCGTCATGAAATAGAGTGGCGCACAGGTATGTTATGTTGATTGGCGGCTCAAATGATCATTGTAACCTAACATAAGGGTATCTGCTACGCAAGGAGTTTTGGGCGAAAGGGGGTGTCGTTGACCTAGAGGTCTTTTCAATTAGAAAATTATAAATATATGAAGTTGGTGTGCTGTTGGCATAGCTATTGGAGCACCTAGTCCGTCATTCCAATTCAACTCCAAATTCAAGTGAGCTATGACTTTGACAAACTTCACAACAGATGCTCTTGAGGGGTTATGTACTCAAGAGCAGTTAGAGCTTCTGAATTCCATCGATACGCTCCAATCGCAAGGCATCAGCCACTACGTCTCGCTCCCACAAATAATCGTATGCGGAGACCAGTCTTCCGGAAAAAGTTCCGTTCTCGAGGCGATATCCGGCGTGTCTTTTCCAGTGAAAAGCAGTTTGTGCACTAGATTCCCAACCGAGTTGGTTCTTCGGAAGAACTCGCAAGTGGGAGTTCGTGTTTCCATTGTCCCTCACCAATCGCGTAGTGAGGCCGAGCAGCATTCTCTCAGCAGCTTTTGCGAACAACTTGATGGGTTCGATGGCCTTGCAAACTTGATAGAGAATGCAAAGGCAGCGATAGGTATATCCACCCACGGAAAAGCATTTTCAAATGACCTTCTGCGGGTTGAAGTTTCAGGCCCTGACCGGCCACATCTCACGATTGTCGACCTTCCGGGTTTGATCCACTCGGAAACACGACAGCAATCGGCAGCCGATGTACAACTAGTTCAAGACGTCGTCCAATCATACATGAGTGAGCCACGAAGTGTTATCCTCGCCGTCGTCTCCGCCAAGAATGATTTTGCAAACCAGATTGTCCTCCGTTTAGCGCGGGAAGCCGATCCATCCGGCAACCGGACATTAGGCGTCATCTCCAAGCCTGATATGCTAGTCCCGGGATCTGAAAGTGAGGCTTCCTTTGTATCGCTTGCTAAGAACCAAGATGTAGAGTTCCGTCTTGGATGGCATGTATTGATGAATATGGATTCGGAGAAAGGCCAGTGGAGCTTATCTGACCGGGATATCCAGGAATGGAAATTCTTCTCCCAAGGAATATAGGGAGACCTACCTCGATCTCTCGTGGGTGTGGATTCACTGCGACCCCGTCTGAGCAGCCTACTTCTTGGTCAGATTGCTGGTGAACTTCCAAGCCTGATCAACGAGATAAATACCAAGATCAACACCTGCAGGTTGCAGCTTCAGAAGCTTAGAGACCCTCGTGCAACACTAGATGAGCAAAGATCGTATCTTTTACATATCAGCCAAGCGTTCCAGTCACTAGTCAAGGCAGCCGTGGATGGCACTTACAACGAGCCTTTCTTTGGAGATGCAAAGACTGATGATGGGTACCAGAAGCGCATCCGAGCAGTCATTCAAAATCTGAATCAGAAATTCACGGATAATATCTCTCTCCGTGGCCATTTCCGCCATGTCCTTGAAAGTGAAGAGCCTAGATCAATCTCCAAACGTCAAGTGCTTCTCAAAAGAGAAGAATACGTTCAGCAAATCGGAACGCTCCTCAAAAAGACAAGAGGCCGAGAGCTACCTGGCACTTTCAATCCTTTGATTGTGAAAGATCTTTTCCAAGAACAATGCGGCCCATGGGAAGAAATAACACGCGTCCATATTAGTGCCTCATGGAAAGCTGTAAGAGAATTTCTTCACCGTGCAATTTCCTATATGGCGGATGAGGTTACGTCAAAAGCCTTGTTTGAAAAGGTCATTTTGCCAGCTCTGGAAAATGTACGAGATACATTGGAGAAGGGAAGCGAAGAGTTCCTTAGGCCGCATCAACGAGGTCATCCTATCACCTACAACCACTACTTCACTGAAACACTCCAAAAAACTCGTGCTGATCGTCAAAAAGAAAGCTTGCGTAAAGCTCTTCAGTCATACTTCGGTGTTGATACTCTTTCAACCTCCGAAAATTATGGGGAAAGCATCAATCTTCAAGGGCTTCTCAACTCTCTCGTTCAGACTACCATTCCGGACATGACGCGTTTTGCATCCGAGGAAGCACTTGACTGTATGCTTGCCTACTATAAGGTACGTGTTCCGACCGCCTTTCTCAATTTATAGCTAACATGTGTGATATCAATACCAGGTTGCACTTAAGCGCTTTGTTGATGACATTGCTACTGAGGTGATCGAAGTGAAGCTTCTGGGTGCAATTACTACACTCTTTACACCCATAACTGCATTCGATATGCCTAAAGAATTGATCGCACAAATCGCAGGTGAATCTGAGGAGAGCCAAAGCCGACGGGAACAATTGAATAAAAAGTTGTGGATCCTCGGGAAAGGTTCGGATACTTGCAAGCGGTTCGTTGGCATCAGGGGTCTTGGTAAGAGAAGTCAGCCCCATTCCATACCTCTACTGACCGTGTCTGTAGATTCGGAAGACGAAATGCAAGCTAGCTTACAAAACAATCGAGCTACATCACCTTCTAGCTCTTGTAACTCGGTTGATGGGATTAATTCTGAACCAGGCTACGGGCAGTCCAGATCATGCAGCCCGGATATATTAGAGCAACCTTCCAAGGATGCATATTCTTTGGAGCATCCCACAGAACCGGAGCCGTTGGAAGCACCCCCTGCAAGGAAGGATGGCAAAAAAAAGAAAAAGAAGCCCGCCCATACGCCTCTATCTCCTGCCGACTATCCCGTTGAGCCCCCTCCGGAATAAGAAAGATGCTCCTAGGTGTTTGTATGCGTGATCCGACATGAGAAATATCGAAAATATATGAAATCATTATTGTCTTTATGTATGTGTTCTTTTGAAATATAAATAAACTTTAGTCTCTTCCCTCGCCGAAATGGAGTTCTGGCCCTACTTGAAATCGTTTTATTGTTTTATATCGAAAATTCGACTATCGATGGATCTTTTATAGCTAATCGCCCTGCATGACAATGATTAGGTGCATTATCCAATGCTGAGCACACTACAACCAAAACCATACTCCCAAATACTTTGAGCGGTCCTCCGTTGGTGTTCTCAATACGATCTCTGTTATGGAAAGAATTGGTCATCCGCAGAGCCCGCAAGCAATCTTGGTTCAATGTTTCCGATTTTACCTGGGTAGTAGGAAGGAAAGACCTGTCGTTTTGTCTTCACGCTCCTCGTTCCGTCGAGGACGTAAAGTGCATAGTTTTTATCTGTTTGCTGCAAATTTTCGGTGGTAATTGCGCAATCTCGGAAATATATATTAATAAACCCTCCGCGAGAAGGAATATTGTCAGTATTGGAGTGGTGACTCCCAAGGGGCGTCGTGTGATAGGGTATCAATATTTCTAATAGATTATATAGTAGCCTATTATATGACTTGGGCTTATAATACGTTTCGAAATTTAGAAATTACTTAAGCTGAACACAGACCCGTCTACCTAGGTAGCGTGTTTCAGAATTAAGTTTGGGAAAGATTCAAAGAGAGTAAAATGGTGGACTGATTTCGAGCGCGTCTGTAAGACAGTTGAGAAAAGGAAGGCGTTCGTCTTATCATAGGCTTGTGGTGTCTAGGATGAAATAAGCGACGAAATATTATCTTTTACTAAAGCTTGCATATATCCATGGATGTCATTTGTTCCAAACTTGAGAAATTATATAGTGAAGGACGAAGCAGTAGGATTGAAAAGATCAAAGATGCACGTGTTGGCGCTGATTTCAACAACTTCGAAGAACTTTCGCAATTCGCCGATCAGGTAATGAGTATTTTACTCGTGAATGATAGCATGAGCACCACTCTCTCGGGTCTTTTCCATTGTTTATCTCAGGACGAACGTATCGTCCAAACGCTTCGAGCAAGCATCATTGATGCCATTGGACTTGCACCACCGACGTAGGATCAACTTGGATTATTGAATTATGTCCGTTGGGTACCCCTACCAAGGTAAGGAATACCTGATCGACCGTTTAACATCGATCATGCAATGACCCATGGATTGCAAAGTAATGAGAGTTTTCCCTGCTGCTGTTTTCAACGCAAGAGTAGCAAACAAGTATTCCACAATACCAAATAGTGGAGGAGCCGAAGGCCAGTCGTCCGCCTTAGTTCGAAAGGGCGATATTGTGGGTTTTCAACCTGGGCTCGGCATCGCCTAGGGGAAGACTTTGGAGAAAATCCAGAGAATTTATATCCAAAGCGATGGGAACACCTAACAGGCGATATACCCGGCTTTATGCCGTTTAACAAGGGTCCTAGAATTTGCCCTGGGCGTAAGCTTTCTCCCCTTACTACTACGGTCAATACATCAACTAATAACCATGCAGAACAGTATGCTATGATTGTGCTTATGTACATTGTGGCTCGTATTTTCCAGACATTTTCGATTGTATCCAACTAGAATACTAAAGAGTGGAAAGAAAGAATTAGCATGACATTCGAGAACGAAAATGGGGTCCTTGTTGGGCTAAGACTGAACTTTCCCCAGACGTGATTTCAACATCTTGTGCGAGAAATATCAGCGAGGAACCGATCAGAGTAAATTTGTAAATGTCATTATTCTCAATTTGATAACTGATAATGGAGAAGGGTGGAAAACATTCTGGTCAATCGGTGAACTCAAACCTTCTATAACCAAGTCAGCCAACCTCAAAGAAAGGCAATCATATCAACCTTCAAACCAACCTTTTCATGAGGTTTCCTAATCTCAAAGAATACATTCTCATATTTCCTCATCTCGTACGGCGCCGTCCTTAGAAGTGCTTCCTTCCGCTTTCTAGTCCAGCCCTTGACACTCCTTAGGTGTTGCAAACTGCGGATGACGCCAGCCATCGGATCCAGAAGTTGACTGACATCCCTATTTGCGGGACTAAAAAAAAAGCGGGTCATGAATGGTATCCCCTTCCAGTCTGTATTCTTCCTCCAGCGCGAGATGCTCCTTATCAGGTGATGTTTTGGATGGGTCGTATGGGGATTTATGTCGCCCAACCTCGTCATCGGAGCCTGATTGGCAGGTTTCTGCTCGTTCCGGGTTGAGGATACACCTTTCGAGGATGAGTTCCTCTGTCTGGGGTCTTTTCTGTGTTTGGAGATAACACGTGCTGCGAAGGGGAAGTGAGTGCATGGGGTAGGTGGTGGCAGCTTGAAATGCCCGATTCAGGGGTTTGACGGTCTTCATGGTTTTTGATTGCGGTTGTTAACAACCCGATGAATCTGTGATGCGTGGGGATTGGAGTTTCAGAGCAAAGCGATTGATGTTTGTAGAGCGGAGTGATTGATGTTTGTAGTTTTAGGAGTTTACCCCAGACTTATACCCCCCAGTTTGGAATGACATCATCATTCTTGGAGGCGTCGCCTTTGGGCCGTACACGGTTGTTACTTCCATGGTTCATAGTTGGTTCAGAGCGGTAGCCCAATCTGGAAATTGTCATGTGGAAAGTGCCCACCTGGGAGTATAACCCGACCCTCCTATTCTCCTCTTCCTTCAATGTTCAAATCCGTTTTTACAATAACCTTGCACTGGTTATTCACAAGGTACGATAGTACCCCTGCGGTGGACACTTCAATGCGTAAATGATATCAGTTCTCTTATATTATCGAAAGTTGTAATCATTGGGCTGTGGAGGCTTGGTGGCGGAAGACCTTTGTGTATGTCCCGCCGTATGCATCCAAGGTATCTTGCACAACGTATGTGCTTTTTTACGACCTTCATATACACATAAAATGACATCTAAAAAGATATCTAAAAAGACATGACAACTATTTTTGAAGACATCACCCGAAAGAAAAGACACAATCACTCACAAGGAGATAGCTCGAATTAGGTATTTAGGTGCTGTACAAGAACCTAGGGTTTCGATCACCCATTTCCTGGATATCCTGCTCTGACAGCGATGATATTTTCTCATCCTCCAGACCCTGGGCTCTGCGTTTGTTGATAAACCGATAGGAAACCCACATGACACCATACACGAAACCCGCAAATGCCACCATACCTAAAGTGACAGCGTTTCCACGGACGAAGCGCGGGCCTTCGGCATTAGGATACAAGAAAGGGGACATGACTCCGCTGATGTTTCCAAACGTAAGCTGCAGGCCGGTTGCGTAGGTTCGTTTTGCATATCGTGGCAGGTTTGTAGGCAGCCATGCGAGAGGTAAACCAACAGCAACGTAAAGCCCCAGTGCAACCATCAAGGCACCGAAGTAATGAACACCCGAGGATGAGTCCGAAATCAAGATGCCATAGCCAACAACTGAGATAGCGCAGAAGAGACATATGAAAAATGCACGGTGTTGGGTTCGATCGCTCAACCAGGCAACACTCAAATAGGCAATAGCACCCAGTCCATAGCAAGGGATTGTCAATGCCTGGACCTCGGCGGTGGTCCAGTTGCCCATGCCTTTGATAATAGTAGGAAGGAAGGTACTATATCCATAGAGCATGGTATCGATACCAAATTGGCCAAAGGAGAACGCCCAGATCTTCCAGTCCAAGACACCCTCTTTCACATCCGCCCAGTGGAACTTCTGCGCAGACTCTGTCTGGCCGATATAACGACTCCGGCGGAGGGCAACAAGCGCCCGCTCCTCTTTGTTGAGATAGTAAGCTGTATCCGGGTCATCTGCCAAGATGAACCAAGTTATCACGCCAAGTAGAACTGTCGGAATTCCCTCGATGATCATAATCCAGCGCCAGCCTCGCAGTCCACAGATGCCGTCCATAAACCCAATGCCGTAAGCCAGCAACCCGCCAAAGGCTCCGGCTATAGCGGCACTGCTAAACAGGTAGCTTGTTCGCAAGGCAATCTCGCGTTTGCTATAGAAAAGAGTGAGGTAGGTTATAAAGCCCGGGAAAAGACCTGCTTCTACGACTCCAAGTAGAATTCGGCAGGCAATCAAGCCGCCATAATTCTGAGTGATTCCTGTGAGGGTCGCAATGATACCCCACATCACTGAGATGGTGGCGATATACCGAGAGGGCCTTAGTTTCTTGAGTACAAGGTTTGAAGGGACCTCGAAGAACTGAACATAGGGTTAGCGTCCGTGCGGTGACTGCATTGCGTGATATACATACACAGTAGGTCACAAAAAGGATAGACACGGAGACTTGATACTGGTTGCCAACAAGTCCCAAGTCCTCTTCCAGGCCGTATAATCGTGCATTTCCAATATTGACTGCATATTTAAGTCAGCCAATGTTTTTGATTGCGCGTTGGCACAGGCCAGTTGCAATCGCAAGGGGATGAGTCAGGCACCCCACCCCCACGTACCTCGATCTAGGAAACTGAAGAGATACAACAGCACCACAATAGGAAGAATATGCAGGTCAATCTTTCTAATCAGAGTCTTCTCGATCTGTTCCTCGTGAAGAGTTGGCTCTAGGCTGATTTCATCGGGCACATTTTGGTCATTAGGTGAACCGGGGTCAAGCTCAGCACGGCCCATGGCGAGAAGCCAAATTTTGGATAGGAAGAATGATAGAGATGAATGGACTCGGCCCCTGGGCCTAGGCGTTTCCGGAGGTCACTTCAATTGTGTTCCAAAGTTAAGAAAACAATGTCAGGCAAAATGCGAAAAGGAAGAATTAAAGTTGCCAAGCGCCAAGAGGTTGGATAAGGACCTCGGGGCCCTGGCAGCCGATAAGGGAAGTGCCTATGCACAGTACATAGGAACTTATGACCTAAATGTGTTTTGTTTCTTCTATTTCTTCCGATTCTATTTAAAAATTACATCATAATTTTAAACCACGGTAGTTCTGGGTAGTCCTAAGGATATGAAAGGTTTTATACAGAAAAGTCTCCGACACAGAATACATGTATGCTTTTTTCTTACCACCTTCGTATACACCTGAAAAAGACATCTAAAAGAACATCCAAAAAGACCACTAAAAAGACATGACAAGGCATAAGCGGCCGACTATCCATGTGTATATATAATAATACATATATATATGTAGTGAGTACAGAGTAGACCTCAGGACATCGACTTTGCACAGGATGACGTAAGATGTATATGCCTATATGCCTGAGGCGAGCATGCATAGGAGGCTGCCAATACAAAGTCAAGTCAAATATAGCAAATCCCTAGTCTGGAGACATCCGTAGGACATATAAAATAAGTTATAACAGGTGCCTTTTCCGGAAGGTATAAAAAATCTACTCCGTACATTTACAGAGCAAAATAGGAAGGTCAGCAGATCACAATGGGCCGGCCTAGCCAGCTTACCTAATTGGCAAATCCGGCTGTCATTTTTGCCTATTTGTGCCTATTTGCTGCAGAGAAGAGGAACCATCACTTTCTTACTCCTTCTGCACCATATTCAATTAGGATCGATATCTGCTATGAACGGGACTTTTTCCCCCTGCAATTCTGTTCACCCCGCAATGCACTGCTGACGGACACACATCTCTCATGACCTTACTTCTCATTATGAGAAATCCTTCACGTCAACGCGTTTTATAGAGCTTCGCAAACGACTCCTGAATAAGCTATTTGAAAGTTTGCTTCCCTTTCTCTGCCATAGGGAGTTCTGGAGCAATAGCATCCTCTTTTTCTGTTCTTCTGGGTTTCGCACAATCAAACCCCATCAAAATCAAAAAGTACCGCTTCAACCAATGGCGGACCTAGTCACTCCTTCATTTGGGAAGGTGACCGCGTCCAAAACACTCGATGGCCATACTGGCTTCATTTGGGATGTGGCCCTTTCCGGCAACGGTCAAATCCTCGCCTCAGTCTCCAATGACATGATGATCCGTTTTTGGAACGCCAACACCGGTCTTCAGCGCGGCGCCGCAAAAGACAACGGCCATTCTCACTGGGTGCGCTGTGTGCGATTTTCCCCCATGGGCCGATTCTTGGCCACTGCCTCCGATGATATGACTATTCGCATAAGCGACGTGAACACCGGGTTCACCTACCGCATGCTGCAGGGCCACACCGGCAGAGTGAGAGCGGTGGAATTTTCCCCCGATGGAAGAACCCTCGCTTCGGCCTCGGATGATTTTACTGTACGATTGTGGAATGCGAGCTCGGGTTTGCTGCTTAAAACCCTCAGTGGGCACTCGGGTTGGGTGCGCGCTGTGGCCTTTTCGCCTGATGGAAAGACTCTCGCTTCAACCTCGGACGATAATACGATTTGCCTCTGGGACATAACCACCGGCAATGAAATACATCGACTAATTGGCCATGAATCCTCAATCAGGGCTGTCTGTTTCTCTCCCAATGGGAAACTGCTGGCGTCGGGGTCGCAGAACAAAGACCTGCGCATCTGGGATACTACTTCTGGCGCCTTGCTGAATGTCCTCCGGGGACACTCTGGACCTCTACGTGTGATCGCATTTTCTACTGATGGGAACCTAGTGGCATCAGCGGCCGACGACTTAACCATCCGCGTTTGGGCTGCGCCATTGGGGTTTGCGTGCGTCCGTGTCTTAACGGGCTATTCGGGGTGGGTTCGGGCCATTACTTTGTCGCACGATGAGAACATGGTGGTCTACACGTCTGATGACATGACTATCAAGATCTGGAGCTCGGCGTGATTCTCTCTCGCAGAGGGAAGATTATTTTCGTTGACCTGCTCGTTTGTTTGTTTTTTTCTTTTCTTCTTTTGAGATACCCACCAACGTTCTTGATTCTTTGGCCCGCATGCAATTTCCCTGCGATTAGCAATCAACTTGTTTAATTGATCAAAAGTCGGAACTAAACTGGTCTCCTTTACCTGGTTTGAACAGCTGGGTCGAAGTCGCTAAAACCGGCCAAGATCGTCCCCTCCCCCTCATTCAATATTTACGCCAACTTCTCAAGTTCAAAAGCCTACTCATGCAAAAATTCCACGAACTGAAAGGTGCTGGGTATGCTGCAGATCCTGCTTCCCAATGTTTGGACTAGTATGACTCACTCGGAATCTTCTATCTACCTAGCCTATCACGCAATGGGACAGTCTTCTCGCAAACGCTTAATTGGTCTAGTATCAAATTAGGCAAGGATGGACATTACATCTTTCATCCTGACTCAATTTGATGGGATACGCCCTTCAACATTGCTATCTTTCCAGTATCTTTATTTAGACTGATACCATGGGCCAACCATTTTCAAATGGCGATCCTCGCCAAGTCTATGATGGGATCAACAACAAACCCACAATCGCAGAAAATGCTCTCCAAGAAATGGCCGAGATAG